ATTGTTTATAAATGTTGCTATAGATGTTTGAATATGGTTTACAGTAGGGGTTGCACCAATTAGTCGACTCGTCGATTCTTTTCTCTGCACTGACTTTTTTCTGGGCCAGTCGACTAGTCGCAATTACATGACTAAACAGATTTTTCCCAGAAAATGAAAGAAGGTGGACTAGGTGAGTTCGTCAGAAAGCTCAAATTGTATAAAAATGTAAATAATTTAATAATTACCAGTTGTAAATTACAGCTTAGGCTACCGTGCGCGGCGCAGTGGTTAGTGCGGCGCCCCGCATACAGAACCCGGTAATCAGGAGTCCGACTCCCGTCCTCCATTCGCTGGGCCCATGCCTCTCTCCGCTCTCTCTGCCCCCTTACAGTCAGATTGTTGTCAAATAAACTAGTGCCGAAAAAATCCTTAAAAAAAATAAAAAAATAAATAAAAAAGACTACCGGAGTAATGTGTTACAACGCGTCATGATGTCAGGCTTTTTTATCCATCCAACTGATCAGCGTCACCCTGCGTATTGAAGCTTTTAACCTGGCAGCTTTACGCTCTTATAAAGATATGGTTTAACTACATCTGGAAACTAAGTCCAAGCTTCATCCTGAGGATCTGATAGAGGCGATCTCGGCCGCCGTCTGCATGTCGGTTCAGAGAGCCGCTGCTGAGTCAGCAGAGCCTCCTGCTGCGCATCGGGCGGAGGAGCAGCAGGAGGAGCAGCAGGAGGTTTCGTTAAATTCAACTGTAACCAAACGGGATCCGTTCATAATAAGTTTAGTTTGTTATGTTCCAAAAGCACCAGTGGTCAGTGTGATAATTTGACTCCTATACGAGTAACTATCCAGAGATCATCAGCATCAGCCGGTGTTTGGAAAAAAAAAAAAAAAAGTCAGACCCGACTTTGTGAAACCAACTTTTCTCCGCTGCTCACGAAGAATCATCTGTTTATTGCTCTTTTAATTCTGCATAATAGACTTAATAAAAGCAGGAGAAGGGGAGTGTGTGTGTGTGTGTGTGTGTGTGTGGGGTCGGGGAGGATCCATATTTGCCGTGAAAATAGCTGATAAAGCCTCCAAGTAGGGTTTTTGCGCTTACGTCACTATGACGTCACCGCGACTAGTCAACATCCACTCGACTATTATCATGATGTAGTCGACCTTAAAAAATATGTAGTTGTTCAACCCCTAATCGATGGCTTATTTTTGACTGCTGTTTCATTGATTCTTGTAAGATAGATTTTTTTTTTGTCTTCTGTCGCTTGTTTAACCTTAAAAGTTGCAGAACATCTGCACACAACTGAAATATGACAGTTCATTTTATGAGAAAATGTATTCATAATATATACTATGTTGTAACACATTTTGTTGTCATTGATGCATGGTGGGTATAAAAATGATTGAATTTAGCCCTCTTAGCATTAGCTTTCACTAAATGACGTGTTGGTGTAATGCTTTAGCATTGCCCTTTGCTAACTGCCATGTTGGAATAGCATTTTATCATTAGTTTTCACTAAATACTGTGTTGGTATAAGCATTAGCTTCTACTAAATACTATTTTGGTGTAGCACTCAAGCATTAGCTTCCTATAAATATCACATGGGAATAGAGCTATAGTGTTAGATTCCAGTAAATACCATATTAGCATAGTGCTTTAGCACTGTGGGTGGTAGTGTAAAGGCTCTTCTGAACGTTGCCACATGGTTTCTAGAGGCAGGTTGGTTTGCTTGGACTGTTTTTTTATGTGAAAAGAAACTAAAGAGCTGGAAAAGGCAAACTCATCAAGTAACTCGAATAAAATTAAAAGAACTATAGGTATGAAATGTGTTGCATTTACTTCAGATAGTTGTGAATGCAGCTTTTCTTCTTCGTATTTGTTCATATTGCATAATTTCCATCAATGTGTGAATGCGTCACTAGTATGCTTAAGAAATGCTTAGGAGCCAATCGGATCACAGCCCTCAACTCTTTCCAACATGTTCATCCGTATCACATAAAAAATAAAAATTCCTCCACAGATCGAAGATGTTTTGCTGACTGCAGCGTTGGTGTCTCCTGCAGCTTTCAGCACTTTTCCCCCCATTGCCCTGTCTTCTGCCATTTGTTTCAGTTAGGGGGTAATGCGTGTGGCTGTCAAAAACGATTGGCTTTGGTGGTTTGAGGCTTGCCCTGCAAAGTGCGCTGGACAGTAAATTGTATTTTTCCACAGAGTTATTAGGGCATTATTATAGCAGCGCTGGAAGTGAACAATGCCTCATCGTCCTCACAGCCATACAATTAGAATCATCATTAATCGCTACTATCAGCACATCAGCGGGCCGGAGGGGTTATAATAGAGTTATAGACCACTTATTGGGTAATCAGTCAATGCGATTGCTAACTAAACTGTCTGTCATGGTGCCAAAACTTAGTGACTGGCCATTGGCTCAAAGGAGAGAACAGGATTATGGGTGTGTGACGGGAATGTTTATGTTTGCACTTCTGTTCAGATGTGTTCTATATATTATGTCTCTCTAAAGAGGCTGTGCAGGATGTATCTGTTTGACTCCTGGTTGCAATAACAAAAGTCTGATTTTATTGCAACTAAAAGCCGTGCTACGTTAGACATAATTTATATGTGAATGGTTTTACATATTGAAGGCTAGTTGTCTTTTTTGCCAAATTGTGCTTTGAAGCTGCAGATGTAGCTACATGGTTCTGCATGCAAATAAACAAGATATTAATGCAGCAGTGGCATCATGCAGGGTGCAAATTATACAGCGACAATTGAGAAAGAGAGTCAATCTGTTGTCCAAGATGGAAACTCTGTCTTGTTCATTATAATATCTGTCTATATACATTAAAGTAATCATATATCACTGACATGACACTCACCATAATCTTTGTGTTGGGTTTCTTCAGAAAAACGGTTTTCTCGTTGAATGAAAAACACCCAATTTGCCTATTATTCTGGACTCTATTGAAGAAAACTGAAAAAATATATATTTAGTCTATTCTAAGCAATAAAATCAGGATCTAGGTCATTCTTCATTTGAAAGCACTTGCTCTATTTAGCCAAGTTTTAATGCAGACATGCAATTAAAAGCAGATTTGGTGCACTAAGGTGTAGTTTAGAGTACAAATCAATGAGTAATATAAATGTGATTCTATTTACCATGCAAAAGAAACCAGAAAGCTTGGAAAAGCATCTAAGATTTTTGTAAGTAGATCTTAACTTAAAAGTTGTAGTTATGTCCTAATTTATTTATTCTTGAACTGTGGTTATGGGGCACGCAAAATAAATCCAGGGACCACAAATGGCCCCCGAGCTTCACTTTTAACACCCTTGTTCACTAGGGACAAAAAATAGAGAGCAAAGTTAATGGTCACAATAATTCCAAACAATGAAAATTAACATCAAAATTCAGCAGTGACATACTTTATACTTTCACTTAAACGACTGATGGAAACTACCTAGTTTTGTTTTTATGCCGTTACGAGGCTCCCAAATGCAATAATTATGGATTTTCATCCTGAGTAAACATTTTTTCCTGCATTAAACTATGTGCAGGGAAAGTCTAGCAAGCAGAAAACTGATAGAGTAGGGGAAGGTTTAAAGAGCAGTGTGTCTCAGAGCTGGTGTGTACTAATAATAAATTAAATATAAATTGTATGTGTAAATATGTCAGGTTATTTACCCCCTTTACCTGTTTCCACTCACGTTAAGAGAGGATGAAGACATCAAGAGGGTCAGACTCGGTCAAACCAGGATTTAAGACCAGTTAGTCTTAAATTCATTGAGAAAAATAAGTTGTCCTTAAATACCATCCAATTTATTTATGGGACCTGTACATTTCTGTGCTGGTACAGGTCTTAAATTCCATTCATACTGGTCTGAAACAGTCTTAAATTGTGTTGGTGAAACCTACTGACATTTATCAGCACATCACTGCAAGAACACAAAATCTTAAGTTAGTTTCAAGTGCAAATATCTAGCATACTTCATGTGAAGTAAAGATAACTTACAAATAACGAACCAAATACACCTCTCTGCTTTCACAAAGCTCATTAATCATTCTCGTCCTCAAACATTAAAAAACAAAGCAAAGCGGTTTTACTTGTTCAGCTTCTTTTGAGTCAATAAATCCTTATATTAATGATAAAAAAAAGTATTAGTTCCACTGAGACCTTAGTTCACTTATGACATTTTTCACCTTTTAAAAAAAAAAAAAAAAAAAAAAAAAACTGCTTGTGGAACTAATCAATTTTCATCATTAAGGATTTTTTAATATGTAAAACAAGGTCCTATATCTTGCTGAAAAGTTACTTGTATGTTAGTTTTGTCTTATTTCAAGCCCACTGAGACATTTGCACTGGAAATTGAGCAAAAACACCTAGTAAGAATGTGTGGTTTTACAGCAAAAGCTGGCATATTGTTCCATCCACAATCATTCCTCATGCTCTGTCTCCTCAGATGACCCAGGAACAGTGCTCTCATAGGAACAATGTCCAGAGTTCAGAGAAACCACAAGTGTACAAAGTGGGAATATATGGCTGGAGGAAACGCTGCCTTTACTTCTTCGTCCTGCTGCTAATGATCCTGATCCTGATCAACCTGGCACTAACAATTTGGATCCTCAAGGTCATGAACTTCACCATTGTAAGTCCATATTTTGTGTATTTTTGCTGTTGAACACTCTGTGTCCCGTTCTTTTTCTGATTTTTGATTTATTGTCTGATGTATAAAAAATGGGCTTGATTTTTTTTTCTGTGCATCTGCATACATATTTCACTGACGGCTCTTTTTTAAGCTGCTGCTGCTACACATACGAGTTACACAAACACCGCATCCTTTCAGTAACCTACATTTTCTGATGATTCCACATGACATGAAAGCGTGAGCCTTGAATATTTAAATCGGCCCAGTTATATTTTCTGGGATGATTAATTAGTTGTTGAGTACTGATCTGAGGTCAGCAGCTCTCTTGGACATTCACCAGTCTCAGTACATCAACTTCTTATTTGCATCACTGTGTTCTTCTTTTTTAAGGCTGCTGGTGGTTAAAGAGAAAGCACATCTCCTTTCAGTTTTAGGGTACAAAGTGTTGGGATGAAAACAAGTTTTTTTTCTATCAGGTTCTAAGCATAAATGTGAATTTAAATTTACAAAGCAGACTCCACGGTGTCATTATTGATTGAATAAAGATCAAGTTGAACAAAACTAAGTACACCCTTGCTACTTCCAGAGGATTCAGTAAAATATAGGTGTGCAGTGTTTATCCCTTATTATGTCACTTAGGAGCACATTTTCTGAAAACTGTTGGATCATGGGGGGGTGTACTTAGTTTTAGGATTTTTTTAACTTATTTCTGGAACAAATCTGCCTTTGAGTTTCATCTCAGACTGTCAAAACCAAACTCCCGCCTTTGTGTTTTCTTCTGATGTTAAATCTATATCAGCACTATGAGCAAATTTATGAAACAAACCAAATACACCTTTCTGCTTTCATGAAGCTCATTAATCATTCTAGTCCTCAAACATAAAAAAACTAAACAAAGCAGTTTTACTTGTACAGCAAATATGAAAACCCGAATACAAATTAAGAGGAAAAGAGCTAATCTAATAACAGAAGTCAAACAAAACTAATTAAATCACAATTCCGTTAATCCAACAAAGACGAGGTTTTATTGTAAAAATTGCAGCGTGTGCTGTTTTTGAACCCATGTGACTCCAGTGTTTCTAAGCTTTAGAAAACATGTAAAACACTTCACATCCATCAGTGCCTGCAGAGCTACCGTCTCTGAAGCTCTGAGTCAGTTTGTCTTCCTCTTCCCTGCTGCGTTGCTTCGTTTTTACTATTCCATACCTTCCTGGTTTGTTTTCGCCCTATCAGCTGCACACATTGTCTTTCTGCTCGTATCAATCCGGCACGTAGCGATGAGTCGGTATAGCCAAGGCAACACACACGACATACAGCACACAGGGGCACGCTCACATGGTTGTTGATGTGAATAATACATGAGGCCCGCTTCACAACGCGGCTTTAATGTGAGATCTACATAAATCAGGAACGACTTTCTCAGATGCTGAGCTGTGCGTTGTGACGGAGAGCCTCAGTCAGTCAGGCCGTTTAATGTTTTTAATGTGTCTGCTTGATGGATTTATAGAATAAGAAAAACTTTTGAAATGTGATAGATGGGTTTAAAAGGAGGGAAAAAAATAACGTCAAAGCAGATCAAGAAAGGGAAGGAATATTTCTACTACTTTTTCTACCCTGTGACGTTTCAGTGACATCCTTTAATCCAGGCATATTTTTACTGTTTGTGGTACTCCATTAAAAACTGTTTTACAAGTTTACTCTTCAAAAACAGTTGCTCCTAATAAACTTTACACAGATTAGAACTGAATTATTCAGGCTTATGGACCATTTCTGGATCATTTATTAAATTATTTACCTATTTTTCACAAGACTCACTTCTGAAATATTGGACATAATGCATTAAGTTATGACCTTCAGACGTCTTTATAATAAAATTCCAAAGTGTTTCTTGGCCAGTCCTCCTCTTAAGTTTATAAATATACATTGTTTATTCAATTAAACTTCTCAGAAAAAAAAAAATATTAACATGAGCCTACCTTTGCAACATTTAAGAGCCACAAAAGCTTCATGAAACAAATTAGCCTATTAAAATAGTTTGGTTTTAAAATGAAGAAAAAGCATTTTATTTTTGCTTGTTGCTAGGTAACCAGAGTGAGTGACTAAGATGATGCCACTGATCTTTCTTAGCTCTCCATGATCAGCTTTCCTCTGCCTACATTTCCCACAATGCTGTGCAGTATTGTATTAGGTGTATTTTCTATTGATATTGATCATGTCTATACCCATATATGTATTGTTATTGATTTATTGCCCTGCCCTATAACTACCAAAGACATTTCTCCATTTCATTTGATTGTTTTATGAAAATATTCAGTTTTTACATTAATAGCACATTAAAAGCTAAACTTAGATTCATTTGATTGCAAAAACATCTTTCATGTCCTGAACGGGAGCACTGACCTTAAAATACAGAGCTCCCTGCCAAAGGAAGTCAAACCAGTGTCGTCAAAGCTATTTTTGGGATAGTACACCCAGCAGAGCAGTTTCCTAGTATAGTTTCATTGTAAGAGATGTTCAGAAGGTTTTCTCTATGAAGCAGCAAAGGTGAAGGGTGCCTATGAGTAATAGAAAGTCTGTAGAAATCCATAATTAATAAGTTTGGAGCATGTATTATCCGTTTTTAAAACACCTGAGCATTCAGGAGACAGGAGGTGGAGAAAATATCTTGGATAGAGGAGGCAGAGACATGCAGAGATTAAATATTCACATAAACTGCAATTACAGAGACAGAAAGTATGAATAATGAACGTGGGCAAGCAGTGGACAGCAGGAGATGTCCGACAATGTGTAGGTGGATTTAAATCAGTTTAAAATGTGCCTTAAGATTCTGCAGGGTTGAGGTTGGAGCAGCGAGCTTTGATCTAGTGGGCAGGAGCTCAATAGTTAGGCAAGCAGCACCACATGTGTGACCAACACAGCTCAGGAAATGTTGGTGGTGTTGTTGAGTTACTTTTTGGCAATCCCAAATTGTGGCAACTGATCACCAGCTGGGGAAACATGCAGAGTTATTTCTGCATTTAAAATAGTTGGACCACCAAGCTGCTTGAATGTCCACTCTGGCCATGATGGGTTTGAGAGAAAACTTAAAGACTTTACCACTTACATACTGAAGCTATAAACTGTGTTGAAGTAATGGCAAATTTTCCATTTTTACCAACTGTCTTTCCAAACTGCATTGAACTGATCTGTTCTGCCTAATGGTCTGAAGATTGAAGAACATTGCTGGTTTGAGAAGTTCAATTCTGTGCCTTAAAGTGCCTGGAACATGATTCTGTTATATTTGTGGAAACATAATATTATTAAAATGTTTTAAAAAGTAAATTCTCACCTCTGAAGTCACTTTTGACATATTTAGTCGTAAAAATTCCCCCCCCCCCCCCCAAAAAAAAAAAAAACTTTCAGACTACTGCTTTGC